TCTCTCCCCCCGGGGCTCTCGGCCCCCCGCCCCCCTGTGGGGCTCCCCCAGCTGTTCCCAGTGCCCAGCAGAGGAGGAGCGGCTCCCTGCCCTGCTGGCTGTGCTCTGGGCGCTGCCTCCAGGCAACCCTTGGCCCCCCTGGTCGCCCCGCTGTGCCCGGCTGCCCTGGATTTCAGTGACCACAAGCAGAGGCGGCTGCCGAGCCGCACAAAGCTTTTCATGCAGCAGCTTCTGGAAGCTGTGTGGAGGCGCAGCATGGAGCGAGCCGGGCCGTGCTGCCCGTCCTGTTAACGTGTGGGGCAGCAAAGCGTCGCTCCCCAGTCAAGCCGTGTTTGCCGGCAGCCTGCAGTGACACCCGGCTTTTTCTCCCCTTCTCTCTTGCAGCCAGCAAGGACTTGGCGCAGACGTCCTACTTCATGGCTACCAACAGGTTATTATTTACCGTCGCTTCGTATCCCAGGGGCGGATGTGAGGGGCTGCCCCTCTGCTGGCTGCTCAGCTGGGCGCCCTTCCTCCTGCTGGTGTGGGAGCGCAGTGGGGGGCGCGGGAGCGGGTGGGGGGGCTGCCAGGAGCCTCACTGCTTGCTTCTGATGGTAAGTTAGAGAGCTGCAGGAAGGGGGGAACAGCAGCCCTGGGGGAGCTGTGAAGCCGGCCTGCAGAGGTTTTGCTTGCTTAGGCGTTAGGTGTCAGCGCGCCGTCGCCGGGCCGGGTGCTGCGTGGGTTGTGAGCGCATCTGAGCCCTGCGGGAGGCTGATGGGGGCGAGGAGGGAGCAGAGGAGGAGCTGGATGAAGGGTTGGGGTGGGAACGGAGGTGTGGGTGAGCGCTCCAGCAGTGCCGGCTGCAGCCAGGGGCGGATTGGGGGGGGGTGGAAGGAGTCCGTGGGTCCTTCGGCCTCGGGTAGCGCCAGGTAAGGCGTGGAGCTCCTGGAGGCGACGGCAGCGCTGCGCTGGGCTCTGCCCCCCTCTGCCCCACTGCTGCGCTTGGGGAACCAGGGCTGCCAGCAGGAGGAGGAGAGCGGAGCGGCCCGGCCTCAGCCGCTCGGTGCTGTGTGAGGCAGGGAGGCGGCGCTGCTCCCTCCGCCCCGGGGGCTGCGCTCCAGGTTTCCCCCCTGGGCTTTGCACCGAGGAGCTCCTGGTGACGCGGGGCTGCGTGCTTCCCCCCCCCTCAGGTGTTTCCCCCCCCAGCAGTCATTGCAAAAGCAAGAAGTGAGGCGTGGAGGTGAGGCTTGAAGGAAGCGCGGGCGGCGCTGCGCTCGGAGCTGGGCTGTGTGGCTCCTGCCCGGCTTCCCTCTCACTGAGCTTCCCGGCTCTGTGGCTTTGTGCTGTGCGGGCAACGCAGCGCCCGTGAAACCCAGCGCTGGAGGCGGCTTGGCTGCCCGCAGCCCCGGGCCCTCGCTAAGCAGGGGGCTGCAGCCTGCACTGCCGGGCTCCGGTTGCTCTGGTTGCTCTTTACGAGGCTCAGCGCAGCGCCTGCAGGTGAAGAGCGGAGCTCAGAGCTGGGATGCGTCCGTTATGGCGGCTCCTGAGCCCTTCGGTGCTGCTCCCTGCGCCTCCCCTCCCAGCCAGCCGGTAGCGGCACGCGCATTTCCCCGTTAACTGACAGATGAGCGCCTGCCGCGTGGCCGGGCTGCTCGCAGCCTCTCGAGTGGCTCTGCGAGGGGAGCGGGGCCGGGCTGGAGCCCTGTGGAGCCGTGGTTGCGCTGCACCCCACGCACCCCCGTGTGTCCCCGTCCCCCCCGTCGCCCCCAGCGCTGCGCTGTTCGAGGTTTGGAGCCGCCCTGCGGGGCCGGGGGCGCCGCCTCACAGCCGGGCGCTGACGGAGGCGCGGCTCTGGATCGGCTCCGTCCTGCGGCCGCCGTGCGCGAGGTCGCGTGGTGTCGCGGAGCCGGGTTGCTTTCGGCCTTAAGCACCGAACCTCCCCGCTGTGTGAGGGGACGCCGCCCCGATGCCGATGGGGAGCAAAGAGGGGACGAGCGCGGCGCTCGGTGGAGCGGCTCGCGGCGGCGCGGCCTCCCCTGCAGGCGAACGGAGGAGCCCGGAGCGGAGCTGCGTGCAGCTCGAGGGGGAGGCAGGCAGGAAGGAGCCGTGGCACGGAGCCGGCCCGCGGCAGGGTTGTGCTGGGGGAGGAGCAGCAGGGACCCCGGCCACGGCCGCCCCTTCCGCAGCGTCTCTCCAGGGGGCGATTGCGTGCGCTGAGCTTCAGCCTTGGGAGCTGATGGCTTTTTGTTTCTCTCTCCCCGCTGGCGACGTCAGCCTGCACCTGACCACCTTCAGCCTGCAGTACACCCCTCCCGTTGTGGCCTGCGTCTGTATCCACCTGGCTTGTAAATGGTCCAACTGGGAGATCCCAGTCTCCACGGACGGGAAGCACTGGTGGGAATACGTTGATGGCACTGTAACTCTGGAGCTCTTAGATGGTAAGTTTTGGAGCGAGGTTCCCCCGAAGGCTCTTGTATTTCCTTGGCATCTCTGTTCCTGCCATTCAGACACGGCCACTTCGTGGGCTCGAAGGGCTTCTGGTTTTGCCGTGGTTTCCAGCGCAGCGGCCGCTGTGGCGCGACAGAGATGGCAAAAGGCACGGAGAGATGAGTTCAATGCGGTCAGTGGTGCCGGCTGTCGCACCGCCCCTCCTCGAGTAGCTCCACGCCATCGTAGCTCCGTCCGTCAGCGAGCAGGGGGCCGCCCTGAGGATCCGGGCCGCTCCGCTCGTCCCTCTGACCTCCCCTTCCCTCCCTTGTGTCTCCTCTGCAGAACTGACCCATGAATTCCTGCAGATCCTCGAGAAAACCCCCAACCGGCTGAAGCGCATCCGGAACTGGAGGGTGAGGCTGCGGTGTTGGCGTGGGGGGGGGGGGGTCTGCAGTGGGGCAGAGCGGGGAGGGGGCGGCGCGGGTGTGCAGAATCACAGCATCACAGAACTGTAGGGGTTGGAAGGGAGCTGCAGAGCTCATGGAGTCCAACCCCCTGCCAAAGCCGTTCCTACAGCAGGGCGCACAGCTCAGCATCCAGCAGGTCTGGAACATCTGCAGAGCAGGAGGCTCCAAACCTCCATGGGCAGCCTGTGCCAGTGAACAGTGGGACCCATTGGGACCCATTGAGACCCATAGAGACACGTTTGGACCCATAGAGACACATTGGGACCCATTGGGACCCATTGGGACCCATAGAGACACCTTGGGACCCATAGAGACACATTGAGACCCATAGAGACACGTTGGGACCCATAGAGACCCATTGGGACCCATAGAGACCCATTGGGACCCATAGAGACACCTTGGGACCCATAGAGACACATTGAGACCCATAGAGACATGTTGGGACCCATAGAGACACGTTGGGACCCATAGAGACACGTTGGGACCCATAGAGACACGTCGGGACCCATAGAGACACCTTGGGACCCATAGAGACATGTTGGGACCCATAGAGACACGTTGGGACCCATAGAGACATGTTGGGACCCATAGAGACACGTTGGGACCCATAGAGACACGTCGGGACCCATAGAGACACGTCGGGACCCACAGACTCCCCCCTCCCTGCATCCTGTTCCATCGCTCCTCCCCTCACTGCACAGCCGTTCCTTCGCACATTGCTGCACAACTTCCTGTGCTCCATTTCCGGCCGTTTCCCCTCCTCCTGTCTCCACTCCCCACTGCACAGAGTCCATCCTCGCCATGCTGCCCCCACACCTCAGATATTTACAGACCTGGATCAGCTCCCCTCTCAGCCTTCTTTTCTCCAGGCCGAACAGCCCCAGTTCACTCAGCCTTTCCCCATAGCAGAGATGCTCCAGGCCCCTCACCATCTTGGGACTCTTCCCAAGAGCTCCCTGTCTGTTTTGTGCTGGGCAGCCCAGAACTGGACGCAGGGCTGCAGGTGAGGCCTCACAGGGCAGAGCAGAGGGGGAGCATCGCCTCCCTCCACCTGCTGGCCACGCTCTGTGCAACGCGCCCCACTTGGCTTCGGCCGCCAGGGCACCCTGCTGGCTGCTGGCCGACCTGCCGGGACACCCAGGTCCCTCTCCGCCTCGGCGCGGGGAGCAGCCCGGAGATGTCAGCGCTCCGTCCTGAGCGCCCCATGAAAACAGCCGCGCTTCCCTTGCAGGCCACGCAGGCGGCCAGGAAATCCAAAGCCGACGAGCACGGCGAAGACGAGGGGCTGTCGGAGCAGACCATCCTCAACATGATCTCCAGGAACAACAGCTCGGATATGAACATCGCGGGGCTGATGAGCATGTCCACGTCCTGCGCCGCCTCCGCGGGGCCCTCGCTGCCGGCGCCCGCCGACTCTCCCGGCGCTCCGAGCGCGGCGGACGCGGCCCCGGCCGAGCGCTGGCTGTCGCAGCACCCCGCGTCCAAGCTGGAGGCGGCGCAGAGCCACCGGACGGCCGAGGGCGCGGCGGGGGCGGAGCAGCAGCCCTGCCCGCAGCAGCAGGACGGCGGCGGCTACGGCAAGCAGGGCGCCAAGAGCGCGCCGTCGGCCAAGGTGTCGCTGAAGGAATACCGCGCCAAGCACGCCGAGGAGCTGGCGGCGCAGAAGAGGCAGCTGGAGAACATGGAGGCCAACGTGCGCTCGCAGTACGCGTACGCGGCCAAGAACCTCCTGGTGCAGCAGCAGAGGGAGAGGGAGGTGCAGCAGGACGGCAACCCGTCGCCCATCATCCTGAAGATCCCCATCGCCGAGAACCCCGAGCGCCCCCCGGGCCCCGACAAGGGCGACAAAAGCGCGGCGCTGAAGCTGAGGATCCCGATGGGGGGCGCCGGGGCGGAGCGGCCGCTGCCCTCCAAGCAGGAGGAGATCAAGATGCGCATCAAGGTGCCCGGCGAGCGGCCGGACGACGGCGGCGCCAAGAGCCGGGCGGAGCACAAGGAGAAGCACAAGGGCCACTCGTCCAACCACCACCACCACAACCACCACTCGCACAAACATTTGCACCCGCAGCTCGGCGCCGGGCCCAGCGCCGCGCTCGGCAAGCGCCCGGCAGACTCGAAGCACGCGGCGCCGACGGCCGGCGCCGCCCCCCATAAGAGCTACGGCCTCTTCGGCTCCTCCCGAAAGCGGCCGCCGCCGGAGGAGGGCGCGGCCCACGAGCACCCGCCCAAAGCCAGCAAAGGCCCCAAGGGCGCCGCGCCGCCGTTCCCCTTCCCGCACCTCCCGGGGCCGCACGGCTCCGACGCCGTCGCCGCGCTGCCCGCGCTGCCCTCGGCCCCCGGCAAAGCGCGGGGCGGCGCCCACGGCAAATCGGACAAAGGACCCGCGGGGGCCAACGGCCACAACGCCTCCCAGCCCAGTGACTACCAGGATACGGTCAACATGCTGCACTCGCTGCTGAGCGCGCAGGGCGTGCAGCCCGGCCCGGCCCCCCCCTTCGAGTTCCACGCGTACGGGGAGCTCTTGAACCCCAGGCAAAGCGGCCGACCCGCCAACACGGACAGACCCCGACCCCCCCCCCCGCCCTCAGAACCTCCCCCTCCTCTGCCCCCCCTCCCCAAATAGGGCCCTTTTTACTACTGAATTCCTGCAGCCCCGACCCTGCGCTGACCGGGGGGTGGGGAGGGGGGGTGGGAGGAAGGGCTGGTTTGTTCTCCACTGCCTCACGAAGAACTTATTTTATTATTATAACTTTTATTATATCGGTATTCAGAGCGCGGAGATGGCGAAGCTGTGAAGGGACGAATCCTTCCCTCCTCCTCCTCGCTCCCTCCCTCGCCGCCTCCCCGTCGGCAGTGGCTCCGTCCCCGCTGCAGCCGAAGCCCCCGAATGGGGGGGACCACGTCCTTGTGGGGGAAGAGGGGGAGGTGGGGGCCTGAAGGGGGGGGGGGGGGGGTATTTAAGACGTGTCACAGAAAAATCTACGACGTTTTACAAATAATTTAAGCAGTAACTTATATGGTAGCGTTTGGTTCCTTTGTGGGGGCGGGATGCTGGGCGGTGACGGGGGGGGGGCAGAGGGGCCGATGGGGGGCACGCAGGATGTGTGGGGTGGATGGGGGCGGGCTGTGGTGGAGGCTCTGGCTGCGGGGCAGCGGGCGGCTGAGGGCTGTGCGGTGACGCTGCCTGCAGAATAACGGCTCCGTGCCCCCATCTCAGCCCTCGCGTCCGTCCCTGGTGTTTGGAGCTGCAGGTTTGGGGTTGGAGGAGCCCCGAGTGGGGCTGGGGGGCAGCTTGGGGCCCTGCTCTGTGCTCAGCCCGCGGCTCCCTTCAGTGGGAGCCCTGCAGCTCCAGCTGTGCCCTCAGCCTCAGCGCTCCGGCCGCATGGGTGAAGCCCGCTGGTTCTGTTCCTTTTCCAAGCTTCAATAAACGCGCTGCCTCCATATGGTTTTTTTTTTTTTTTGTGGAGGGGGGAGGGACGAAACCCTTTCCTACGTGAGCACGGAGCTCACGGTCGGGTCTCTGGGCCCCGTTTCTCCCGCTGGTTGCGGCTGAGCCCCGCGCTCGGGGCTTCGCTTCGGATGGCGGCGGGCCGGGCGACGCGCTGCCCACGTGTCGGCACCCACGTGCCGCCCACCCGCCAACCGCCTCACGTGACTCCGGGAGGCGTGGCCTGCCCGCCGCGGAGCGACGGCTCTCTCAGCCAACGGCGCGAAGCACCGCCCCTCTTCTCCCCGCCGATTGGTGGCGGGGCGGGCCAATGGGGAGGCGGGCCGCTTCATCGCGGCCGTGGCGGCACGGAGGTAAGATGGCGGCGGCGCTGCCCTCCCTATCGCGGCCGTCTCGCCCTTTCCCGCGCTCCCTCCGCGCTCCCTCCGCCATCCGCCGCCCGCGGGGCCGCTCACCTCCGTCTTTCGGCTCCGGCGGTGCCGCCGCGATCCCCCCCGGGGAGCCCTTCTCGCTCTCGCCGCCCGCGGACAAAATGGCGGCGCCGGCGCGGACGGGAGGCGGCAGTGCGCATGCGCCGAGGGCCAGCGCGTGGCGGTGGGGGAGCACGTGGGGGTGGGGGGGCACCGACAAAACGGGGGGTCGGGGAGAACGGGAAGGGTGGGGAGGG